ATTCTCTGTATCCTTCACCTGGGCCAGGTAAATGCCCTGCTGCTGAATGCTCAGCCTAGTGCACACCATGGCATCCATGACGGTACATCTGCGTGACCTGTTGTGGGCTGGGGCACCTGGCTTTGCACACCGCTGCTGGGGCACACAACTCTGGACTGTGTGTGAATGTGGTTAACACAGACAGCTAAAACAGGCCAAAATAATGACCACAGTTCAGCACTGCCTTCACTTGATTTCCAGTCAGGGAGGGTAGAAGTGCGCTCATGGAGATAGGACAGCATGACCTAATGCTTGCCAGCTCTGCAGGAGCCATGACCACTTTTGTGCTCTTATATCTCCCAGAGATGGGCCTAGGAGTGCTTATGGGACCTTTTCTATGATCTAACAGAAAGGAAGGGATTGGGGAGGATGAGAGCCCCAGGTTTCTCTTGTTCATGTCCTGACCTTTGCCAAGTCATTTTGTCTTTCTGTGTCTGCTTTCCCTCAAGCAAAATCAAATGGTGCTTATGCAGCTCAGTGAGGCATCTGGTGCTCCTACAATGAAGGGGTAACCAAGCTATTGTTAGCTGTTTATGGGGTCTGACCTTGGGAATGCCTGTAGCAGCAAAGGAAGAAATCACAGGCAAAATATTGAGGCAGCTCTGTGCAGACATCAGGGAGTGACAGAGCCCATCACCATGAGAAGCAAGCAGGTGTCAAGGCCGGAAATCACAGCTCTGCTCAATTCTGTAAATTCGTGGTGTCCAGCTTTTTTCTTCCTTGTTTGCAGATCCCTGGAAGATTTTCTAAGGGAAGGACACATCGCTGTTTAGTGAATTTAAGTCCGCTAACAAGAGCCATTCCTGGTCTCCATAGGTCACAGAGACCCCAGGGTGAAAATATCTGCTAGAACTGTAAGTAATAACTCTTAGGTACTTGCTGTTCCAGACCTTAGAGGACGACACAATCTCAGTTTCTTCGCCAAAGTATTACATGGGCCGACTACTACCGGATCTCTGGCTCCCCGTGCTTAACTTTGTGCTGCGCTTCGCTTGTGAATGAAATCAAGCATAGGGAGCCAAAGTCCTTGGTCATTGTTACCTCTGAATCTTCTGTATAGTGCAGAGGACTTGAATTATGGCTCCAGATCCAGCTTGTAGACACCTGCCCTCATCGCGTATGTTTTTTATTAAAATAGTCTCCCAGCGAATGTCATCTTAGCGAACCAAAGTTTGGGGCTCTTTCCTCTTTTAAAGGGCAGTCACCGTGTCATGACATTATAGTTCATCATCATCTTTATAGTAGCAGCCAAAGAGAAAGGCTCTAGTCTGCATTTAATTTTAAAAAAATAAGTAACAAAACTTCATCTTTTTTTCATTTTGGGACTCAATAGCAAAAGCACTGAACACTTCTGTTTACCTTTTTTATTACACAGTATTGGCATTCTGAAAGTCTGGACTGAAAACTCATTATCTTTTTTCATTGAAGTGCTCAATATCAGGCTTTCTGCAACTTATTGTTCCTTATTTTCCATCTATTATGACAAAATACTAAGCCTGGGATGTCCGTTCCCATTGCTAAAGCTCTCCATCCTTGTCTGATTGGAAAGCCACTCTTCATTGTTCCCTTTTGTACACTCTCCATTAAGCCAACTGGCTTCAGCTGCTGGCAGATAACAAGGGAGAACAAAAAGAGGTGTTAAAAAACGTGCCAGGAAAAGCTCCAAACAATCCTCGGTGTGAACAAGTCTAGCTTGTTAGCCACCCCAGGAGAAAACTCTGGAGAAGTTGACAAGCCCATTTCTCAGATGCCTGTGCTGTCCTGTGGGACTCGCTTGTTCTCCTGGGCAGGGCTGCTGCATTGCAACCAGCTCTGTCTGACAGAGCTGCTACTTAGCTTCTGATTTCTTTTGTCATCTGCCATATCGCAAGTTCTACAGGTTGCGTAGCAAAAACAGCAAAAACAAAAACCTCAGAACAAAAGCGTGCTAGAAACTTGCTTACAGGAGACAGAGGAAGACAGGCGGGGTGGAGCAAAACTAGGTACAGCAAATGCACGTGAAGTGGCTTGAAGGAACGTATCAGACCAAAGGAGTGGAGTGCAAAGTCCTGGGAATGATCCCCTTCTGCTTTGTGACTCTTACCCAACAGACCAGAGGTGAGGATGATGGGCTGAGGGAGCGACATTGTAGAAGCTCAAGGTATCTGCATTTTTATATTCTTTTTTTTTTTTCCTTGGAGCTGTACTGACTCATCTAACTTCTTTTCTCCATGAAGCCAACAGCAATTTTACGATGTTCCTAGGAGATTCCAAAGTTTCCAAAAACACTCTTGAAAACTCAGCTATGAAGGTGACTTGTGACTTTGAGGTGAAACTGCTGCAGGGCAAATGGCTATTGGGAGAAGCAGGTGATTTGGCATCAGCAGGTGATGGCTTTTTCTACACAAAGTAAATGACCCTCATAGTAACTCATCATCAGCCCATAAAAGTGTGAACTCTGCTGTGACCAGACCACATCAGTGCCGTATTTAATGACACCAGTGTTCAGCGTGAATAAGGCCAAATCAGGTTGTAAAACTGCTTCAACCTGTGTTAAAGAGTCCCACATAGTGCAAAATTTGAAATGTTGCTTTTAGCATGGCTTGCCATGCAGGGCCATCAGCCTGGAGCACAGCTTTCCACTGGCATTGGCGAACAAGAGTCTTTGCCCTAGGAACAGCCAGGGACCAGGTGCAAACCCACGTCAGCAAACAATGCCACAGCTTCCACCAGCAACAGGCAGAGGTAAATTGTTAGGGATGTGGGGACTCCCATAGCAAAGCTAAAGGGCCAGATTTTAAAGGGCCTTAGTTCACTTGCTCCCAGGGCAATCGGGAAGACTGGAGCACATAAATGCCGTGGAACAAAAATCTGGCCCTCAGGGTGCTATTTGCCATAGCAACCAGATGAGGTATGGCCTGGCTTTACTAGGCTCATCTGGATCATCGTCAGCCCACCTCCCCTTGTGTGAAATAAAGTATATCAGGACCATTTTAAAATGAGCCTTTGACGTACTCACTGCTGGCTGTGCCACTTGTGGTGAGCAGCTGCTCGCCATCAGTGTACTCCATAACAGTGACCACCTCGCTGCCCAGGCTTCCTCCAGCATCTGCCTCCAGAAGGAGTTTGAGGAGGAAGAAAGCAGAGGTGACAATATCTAGTGCCCTAAAGAGCCTGGAAACCGAGGACTCAGAAGAGGAGTGGGAGGGAAGGAAGGCTCTTAAGGGCCAGACTTGCCTATGTTTTACTGTCCTTTAATGAGTGCAGGCTTGCTTGGATCCTCACATCCACACAAGGTGGTGGGGGCGGGGGGGTGTAGTTGCCAAGCTGTGTCTGCAGCTATCACAGAGCTATGGAGTAACGGGTCCAAAAAGGGATTAGACAAATTCAGAGAGGGTAAGTCCGTGGTGGCTGTTAAACTTGGTGGTCTGGACACAACCCCAGGCCTAGAGAGCCTTTAAGTTGCTGGTTGCTGGAAGCCAGGAGAGGATGCCAAGCAGAGCCTCAGTCTCTGCGTTTCCCATTCTTAAGGATCTTCCCTAAGGATTTTCTACTAGCCCCTGCTAGAATGCTGAGCTAGACGGACATTTGATCTAACCATGTTCCTCTGCCTTCATGTTGTTATTCCTATATGTAATTTGGGCACAAAAGTGGGAAATGAGCTTAGCTGTCCTCCTTGATCCCAGCACTATCCCTAGCATGCCCAGCGCCTGTAGGATCAGCACTCCTCGCATGTGCTGGCTGAAGACTGGCGGCTACATGCATTGAGGAGGAATTCATAAATCTGTTACTGTTTTCACACTCCTGAAGTTCAAAATGTTGTCTTTGCCAGAAACAATAGCCTTTTCATCTCGCTAGATGGGAAGTGGGTTCCTGCTACTTTCTGCCACAGATGCTCCTGCTCTGTCAGTATTTCACTCTTTCTGTATGGTGAGGTCCTATCTCTGCGTGGAGTGATATATGAGCAAAGCGTTTGCATCTGGACCAAGGTTCATGGGCCGCTTCATGGTACATTGCTGACATTTGTTTGCTTTGTTTACTGCAGGGTAGGAGCAAACACCCCATCCATGGGCATTTCAAAGACAAGCTGCTCAGCACACGTTGCAGTGCTCTCAGGGGCAGAGGTGCATTAGTCACAGATTTTGTCTGGCTCCCGCTGGCAGTAGGTAGGGTGGTACATGGCCCAAGGAGACACACTTTTCTGTGCAAACACAGGCTGCCACATGTGAACGTGGGGGGCAGACCATATTCCATGTCCTGGGGCAATTTTGTTTGGAAACAGGGCTCAAAACCAGCTATTCGAGTCGTGTTTCTAAATCTAAATGAACTCTCGAACTCCCCTCTCCTACACCCCAGAGAAAGTTTCTATTTGTGCTTCTGACCCATTGCAGTGCTTTTCTCCTGGTCCCTCGTCCTTCTGCATGTCTGTCTCCTGGTCTGCCCAGACCGGTTCAAGACGTGTTCCCCTATTCCTGCCTCTAGGTGCTTGTTGGCTCTCCTCTCCCCCTTCCTCTGTCACTCTCCAAAAATATTACAGTAACTCTTTTAACTTTCTTATGTCATTTGATATCCTATTCACATAGGTTTTGTGTTGTGTCCTCCAACGGTCGCTATCCGTTTTGGCCCAGGACAGTGTTTCCCTGTTTTACATGTATAGTTTCCCAAGCATGGGGAGGCATAGATCTAATTCTATGTCTTCTGCTTAAATTTCCCTCTCCACCTACTTTCAAAAGACATCATGCTATCTCTTCTTCATATCATCCAATGTGCTCACTGACAGCCAACAGGGAAGGGGAGAAGAAGGTACAACTGAGCACTGTGATATAAATTGAATTTCTTGAAGGATTTTCTTTGGGCTTTAAATGAAGAATGGCTGAATTACTTGACACTTCAAAATAAATTGAGCTTGCTACCTTTTCCCAGAATTCAGAGCAGCGCTGCTTTATATTGGCCCAGCAGTCCCCCTGTTCATGTCTTTCTGCTCAGCCTGAGTGCAGTGAGGCTTTGATTTCATCCTAAGTTGCACACAGATTCTTCATCAAAAAGCATGTGGCTCTTTTCCCTTTCAGCTCCTCTTCAGATTCTCTTCTTTCATCTGTTTTGAAGTTTTGATTTGGCAGAGCTCTGCTCAAGAGAAAACATGGAAGTTAGCACAAGGAAGCCTAGGGCAACATGGGGACCAAGAATTATCAAAAGGAAATTAAAAACTGAAATGACAGTGCAGCATCATTAGTGCTGGGTTAGTTTTGATGGCCAGAACAACGGTACCCAAGGAAACAGCTCATTGTTCTAGGTGGGTTTGTGCTGCAACTGGTTCTGGGTGTAAACTGCTCCCTGCATACTATGTCCTTTTATATAGCATGGCATAAAGGCACCTAATATTGTCAGCCCCAATCCTCCAAGCAGTCAATATACCACAGATTGTTACTTCTGATAAGGATCTACCTGGACTAGAACAGATATCAAAAGCTCATTTACTTTGAGAAAGGAGACCAAAAAGCTGAATGGAGGATGGGTTCTCTAGATATTAAATAGCTGTACAAATCAATTAAAACAGAAAAATCCCTCAAAAAACTCATTCATAATGTACAGCACGTGGGTAGACAGCTGAATGACATGGAGCTCTCCTGCTTTCCTCCCTGTACATGGGTTAGCACTCTGCCCAGGCATGTCATGTTGCAGGATTGGGGCTCAGCGAAGCCTTCTGTAATGGCATAGTTCATGTAAGTATCCAAATTTCACACATGAAACAAAAGAAAACAAAATAAGAAAACAGGAAAAACAAGCCTGTAAAAAAAAAGTGCGTGAGGGTCCATATTTGTGGCTTCTGGTCTGATTTGCTCAGTTTTTACCGGGAAATCTTTTTCATGAATGCCAGCTCGGCAACCATTCGGCCTCTGCTCTTTTCTGGCTCATGCATCATCACCAGAAATAAAAAAATCCTGCAACTGGAACTTAACAATTCCACTGTGAGGCATGAATCAGAAAGGAATCCAGAGTTCTCTCCTACAGCTCCATTAGCTCTGCAGTGCTAATAAAAAATATTTGTTGCTAGCAATTTTTGGGGGCAGAAAAGAGCCTTGCAAGACTTCTCAGAAAGGAATCTGCTCTTGGCATTTAAGACTTCATTTGCACACTTATTTTGCTGTTTGTTATTTCACTTTACAGTAGTTATTGATGGTGTGAAATGTATGAAGGTGTTACATGTAAAGCACAGCAAATGGCATTTCGTGACTCTACATTTAATGAGTATTTCTGTCTGTTCTCGTGGGAGCATGTGTTGGTAAGGCACAATGCAAGTCAAAGAGACTCCATGGTGCTCAACCCCTAAAATGCGTTACAAGAGCATTTCTCCTGCCTTATATAACGACATGAAAATGACTTGATTGCACAAGCTAGGCATTGTTTTTCCTGCAGATAAAACCAGAATCATTCTGCACTGTGTGATATGAAGTGATGGCCAAAGTGACTAAGAGGTAAGATAGCCAGCTGGGAACCTCGGTTTCAGAGAGGGAGCAGAGCAGACTACCTTCAATCCACCGTGTCACTGCTATGACCACTGCAGAGCAGATTTTAGACTACTGAGGCAAAAGTGGTACTAACATCAACAGAAATTTTGCCTGAGTATGGAATGTGGAGTAGAACTCTTTATTTGTTCACTAGGGGAGGAAGTAATGCCACAGTTAGAAAGCTGTTCTTGTAAGTTATTTATTGCTGAGTTTGGGGTTGGTTAGGATTTGTGCCAGGTACTAAATCACTGCAGGTCACGGAAATTTTATTTTTAAGCATTGCTCTTTTGGATGCCCCAAAAATTGCTTTAGCTGTGAATTATTCTGAAAGACCATGACCAATAAAAATGTGCGAACCATAAATCAGAGCCAAGACGTCCCTGCTGGAGAAACTGAGTATAAAATAGGAAATCTGAATCAGGACTACTAGGAAATAGGTTCCTTTTTCTTCTGCAGGTATGGGTCAGTGCAAATTCTAAGCCCAAGTTTTCAAAGGGGTTGCTTCAATTATTCCACAAAATCTATAGCTACCTTCAAAAAAAACCTCACGTTTATGTGCCCAAGCAACTTCTCTGCATCCTCTACACATTCCATTTTCTTCTCCCCTCTATTCTGCGCTCTCACTTTATTGCATATCCTCAGAAAGCCTGATTCCAGCTTATTTGTCCCACATTTAGCACTGCTGTAATGCACTGATCTTGCAGAGCTCCTTCCGAGCAGCACTAGAGAGGACAAGACTGAGATGCTCAAGGACTCTCTAGATCCTCTGCAGCTCAACTTTCTCCAGGTAAAAGCCTGAATAGAAAGAGAAGGAGAGCCTGCCAGCAAAAAAGTCCAAACATGGAAGGCAGTGGATGTTATACCCTTTCCAAGTTATTACTTCACTCAGTACACCCTGTTGCTCTGAGAGGCCTTGAGCCCATGGAAACCTGTCCAGGCAGGGAGGCACGCTACTGCTGAGAGTTCTGGATCTGTCTGCCAACAATTGACTCTTGTGTGACTGAAGTATTTGCTAGGATTTTTACAAGGTGAGGGTTAGTAGAATCTTGCTCCTCCATTTAAGCACCTGGATTTTAGGTGGTGGGTGGAAATATTAAGTAATGTGGAAATAATTCTATTCATTCGATGTGTGTCTGTGGGTGGCACTGTTCACACACCTACAGCTTCCCTTGATGTCTCTCTTAGACAGGCTAGATTGTCAGGACAAGAGGGCATAGTCTCAAACTGTGCCACGGGAAGTTCAGGTTAGACTTTAGGAGGCATTTCTTCACAGAAAGGGTCGTTAGGCATTGGCATGGGCTGCCCAGGAAGGTGGTGGAGTCACCATCCCTGGAGGTGTTTAAGAAAAGACTGGACATGGCACTTAGTGCCATGGTCTAGTTGGCATGGTGGTGTTAGGGCAAAGGTTGGACTCGATGATCCCAGAGGACTCTTCCAACCTCATCGATTCTGTGATTCTGTCCCCCTGAAGCACCTACCTTTTTCCACTGACTCACATGTTGAACTGACTGATTCTAGAGACACCACCCCAAACAAAATCTCCAAAGCAACCTGTTGTATGTAATACCAAAACGTCCCTTGTTATATGACTGCTCTATCCAGAAGTGACGGGGAAGAAAATACTCATGTTGGTTTCTTCCATTTGGCACTTCTTTTTCCCTACCTAAAAGCTGCTGAGCTGAGGTGGATGCTCGTGGGAAGACTGTGACTCTTCATCTGGGAAGCTGTGTTGACAGTATCTCCAAACAAGCGGTACTTTGGCATTTTCTCTTCAACAGCCCCAGCCAGCACTGCTCCGGAGTGGATCCCAACTCTGATCAGTCAGTATGAATCAAAAAGGAAATATGACACATCATATCAGCTTCTCATTGTCACTACCTAGAATATTTAGTGGATCTTCTTGAGCAAACATGCCATGCACAACCTTGAACAGGCTGTTCCCAATCTCCCCTTCTAGGGACTAAATAACAGCTTACTCCTCCACAGGAACCGGTGCACTCAGTTGCAGAAGCAAGGATATAGCCTTGGGCTGGTGACAGGGAATGAATTGTTTGTAAGGAGAAGAGGATGGTGATGTGTAGCAGCTTAGCTACTTTCCTGTCTCGTGACTGTCACTCTGGTGACAGTAATTGGCAGGAGAGAAGAAGGGAATACAGCCCCATTGTACCCATGGCAAACATCACTTTGGACACCTCTCCACTGGACTATTCTCTTTTTCATTACCCAACATGCTAAAGTCAGTGTTCTAGGTATACACATTTAATGTTATGCTTTAGTAGCAGGCCAATAAAGAGTTGTAAAATTCCATATTTTCAATGAACAATTTAACACATGCCCTTGTGTAAGTAGCTCTTAGAAGCAAGGAGCAAGTGCAAAATGAATCATTACATTAATTATTCTGTGTCTGTGCATGAGTTACTAATTGATTTTCTCATTATCCCTAAACACAAACATCAATAAAGAAAGAGTTTGTTTCTGAGTATTCCATTCTCTAAATTGTCAATGACTACTTGGCTACAGTTAAATGCATGTTTCAGTGCATTACTGGATTCTGGACTGCAAAGTTTTTCCTGCTGCAAAATTAAAGCCCCACAACCTGAATTCAGCATAGCATTTAACATGAATATTAACCTGAAGTGTAATTATATTGACGTTCACTGGAACTTGAGGTCTTCCTTAAATATTTACTGATATATAACATCTATTTCAAAGCAAGAATTCGGTCATCTCTATGTGAATGGGCTCCTCAACCATGGGGTTCATGATCTCTTTGGAGGCAACTCCCATACCAAATGCAAGATTGGCTACGCTTAGTGCATGGCTAGTGATGGGGACTGTGACGCCTCCAACCACCAAGTATTCATCTCTTCTTGTTTCATCCTGACAGCACGAAATTCTACAGTTATAACAGGCCCAATCCCTATGACTCACTGAAGTCAATGGAAAAGCTCCCATAGATGTGAGATGGACTCAGATTATGGCCCAGTCTTACAAGGTGCTAAATGCTTCCATTTCCATTAACGCATGGGTGTTCAACCATTGAAAGGATAAATAGTGACCCTTGTCATGGATAAGCCATTTTTAGATATATATAAAATTTCAAATGTTTCCCAGTGACCAATTTTTAGTTTGGGTTTTTTTTTTACACAGACAAGTGAAAGGGAAATTGAAAAGATCTCTAAATTCTTATCTTAAAGCATTGAAAAGAAGGAGTGTCACTTTACAAGAACTGACATTTGAAGTTCTGAACGAACTCTGTCCACCCCAAATTTTCAGCCAGTTTCACTTCCTATGATCACCACAGGTTCTGTTTGGTGAGACAGCTCATCATAAAACCAACCAAACAACCAACCAACGAACGAAACACAAACCACCAAAAAAGAAAAAAAGAAAGAACACAGTAATAGAAACACTTGCTTTATAAACTCTATGGACATTGCCTAATCAATCAAACTTGGAATATATTGAATTCAGCATGTTCACTGTTCGGATGGGCTCACAGGCAGAGCAGATATTTGTGAATGTCACAATATCACTGAAGAGTACTGTGCGAGAATCAAATTCTCCTGAGGAAGAAGTCAGCTCTTAGATGTACATTTCTTCGCAAAGGCTTCTATTCTTATTTGACTAAGTCAGTAATAGACTTTAACAACAGATTTCTGTAACTTGCCAAAATTCTATTAATTGGTTTAATAGCTGAAGAAAAGCTCCCTGTAAGCATAGGAAAGATTCCCATCTTTCGCTGTTTCGTAGCTGAATTACACTGACTTGTGGTGTGGACATCTCACCTCAAAGTTTCTTTTGACATCTCAGCCTGAGTATGTGAATATCCTCAGCCATGTTGGACACAATTTGAGTCATTTCTATTCTGCACCTGTTTACACACAGGATTTTTCTGAAGAAGTGCAAGTGCCCAGAGCCACAGAGGGGATCTCATGCTAAACAGCAGGATGGGACCAAAGAAAACCAACATGCTGTGTTATGGAGGTGTCCTGTGGAGTCATGGACTGACAAGATGGGGACCTGCTAACAAGATACTTCAGCTCCTTTCCCACTCAGTGATTTTTCCTGCCTACAGAAAGCAGTGAGCTGGGGTGGAGTGGGGAAACAAGGGAGATAGATAGTGCATTGTGGAGTTAGGAAGGTTGAGGATATAGATCTGCACTCAGGAATTATTTAGGAGCACTCTTGTGCCTCCCAGTTTAGCCATAATCTCTGAACCCCTATTTTCAGTGAAGAATTAAGGGTATAAATTTGCAGAAGTAACTCCAAATTCATGATCACCATTTTGTGCAGTCATGCTTTGAAGCTCGGAATTGTAATGCAAATAAACACATGCAAAGTGGGCAGCAAATTAGGTGTGCTAAGTGAGGAGCAGTCAGATACCTCTGGCTTGAGTGGCTAAAAAGCACTTGCCAAGTGTTGGATGGGACTTTGCTGAGTTGGTGTATTCCAGATTGAAGATGAAGCAATACACGTGCCACAAATGCCCTCCTTTCCTGCTGTGAACTACTTTTACTTCATCATAACAGGGTTCTCTTTTAAAAAGCTTCGTATCAGTGGTACTCGGGCATGAATTTACGATGCAATTCTCATAGCTGGAGTTCCCAGGCAAGGCCTGTTCTTCATGTGCAGCCATCTGTTCCCCATCATCATAGCTGTAAGGGTCCCTGATGATGCTTGTATGCTCTGGGTGTTGTAATTCATCACGTAGAGAAAAAGGATACCTTGGGACAGCTCTGGTAAAGACACTGTTACAAAGGGAGCTGCAAAGTTTAAGACCAGACATACTAGGAGAACCACAAGCAGAGGAAAAGAAAGGATCCTGCAGTACCTGCATCCACCTTTTTCCTTTCCTTAAGCTGATGTGTTTCAGCAGCATGGCATATAGCAAGTTCTCCATCTTTTCTGCCTCCAAATTCTTGGAAAAGATCCCGAGCTCTTCCTTTTTCCTCTCCAGCTGGTTTGAAAGCTCTGTCTCTGCCAGGTGCCACTGGTTCATCAGGATAAGGTTCCTTGTCACATCATGAGGTGCAACATCAGGAAGCTGCATCTTCAACTCCTAAAGTTATGCCAGGCTGCAGAGCTTGGGGGAGCACAAGCACACCATGCATTGCATGGACTCCATCCAGATCACACATCCTTTAAATAAAAGCATGGGGCAATGACGCTACCAATGCACCCGTTTTACACCTTCTCAACCCATGGATTAGTCTGGAATAGAAACAACGCAATCTAGCAACACTTCATATTTTTTAGACACCTCTAATAGTACTTGTCCCAACATACCAAGACACTTGGGAAGGAAAGCTGCAGTAATAGGCTAGTATAAACAATGGAGTAAAGCCTCCTGCACAGGCTGAGGTACAACCATGGCTTCTTTCATCACAATCCCCAACAGACAGCTATACCTCGTTCATTGGCAAAACTGTGCTCTCTCCTTGTTTCCATGCCCTAGATGTAGACAATCAGCTCCCTGATGAATTTGGCTGTTGCATCTCACCACAGGATAGGAGAAGACCATAACTAGCCATCTAGGAACAGCTCTGTACACCCGAAAGGTTTGCTAGGAAACAAATCCCACCCTTGCTGCAAACTGTCATCTCCAGTCCCTGCCCTATGACACAACAAATGCAGGACTTGTTTCATGGAGCAGAATCAAAGACATTTGGAAGGTTTTCCAGACATTTTAACAAACTGTCACCTTCATGGAGAGATGGACAAGGTGTTTCAAAAGAAACTGTTAGGAACAAGGACGGAGCTAACATCATTGTAATGATGCATTAATGAAAAGATTTTGTAATGCGTTCATTGGCAACCCATCTTTGTTTCCACTGAAGTCAGCACTAAAGGTCTCACTGGGAGCAGCTATGACAATGCAAAGAGAATCTGCTCATATCAGAACACGACATTTAGGATCTTGGGTGCTTGGGAATGGAGGGCGCTAACAGGAAAAAGATCTCTAGAAGAGCTGATATTCTGTATCACACTTCTTTTCTAGAAAAACATATATTTACAAAATCTGAAGTTGCACAATTTTTGTTTGTCAGTTTTGGGGTTGGTTGGTTGGTTGGTTGTTTTTATCTTCTCATCTCCCTGCTTTCATTCCACAAAGAGAGAAGTAAAAAGATACTTCTGAGCTTCAGCATGGACCTGTTTCTCCATGATTTAGGTGAATTTTCTCCTTTTGCTTTGAGAACAAAAGCTGATGATACATTTCTTCCTGCTAAAAATGGAGAAGGTAACAGGTAGATGGATGATGGCAAAATATTTATCTAAACAAGTTCTCTGTAAAAGAACATAACAAGACAAAATAGAGACACTAAGACCAAGGAGAGGATTTTGAGAGGCATAAGTAGTCTTGAAATAAAAAAAGTCTTGCTGAAGGTGTTGGATGCCCTTCTGCTCTTTGTACCTTCAGAAACCCTCTTCATCTATAATAAACTGGTCCCAGAGTATCAGTCAATTAATTAAAAAAAAAATTATTTTCCACAAACCAAAATATTTTTACAAAACTGACTTGTAGAAACTTGTCAAACTTTTCCATGGGGTGATTTTTATGGCAAAAAGGAAAATAGTTTTGTTTTCGGATTTTCAAGGAAATCTGAACTATTTCCATGAACCATCATTTTACTTTGCCTGCAGAAATGTTTTTGTTACACCTTTCATCAAAAGAATGAATTGAAAATGTGGCTAGCTATTTTATCCTGGTAAGGAAAGAAACATAAGCTCATGCAGTAGTTTGAAATATTTCTATGAAGCAGGCTGAAAGTGATTTTTTTTCAGTTCTTGTGGCAACGTACGCATACATTGCCTTATTGGTGAACGCAACCTTACCAAAGGAAAAGCAACAGTTTCATACTGGTGTGCCAAGGGAGAGCTGTACAGCATCAAAAGGAAGATGAAATCTGCCTGCCTGAAACCAGGCACTGTCACATGCAAACTAGCAATGATCAAATTAATTTTAATTTCCCAAAGTAAATATAAAAGCAAAACATCAGAATACCTTACTTATCATGTTGAAACTGCTCTCCAATGCTAAATTTCTGCCCACAACATGGTTTTATAGAGGCTGTAGTAAGTCCAGAAAACAAGTTTTGTGAAAACGCTGCCAGGAAAAGGTCCTGCACAAAACAATATAAACTTATTTTTTATTGCTACACAAAACTCCTTTGTATACCGCTGGAGGCTACCTCAGTGAGTTGTGAGATGACACTTTCTTCATTACAAATATTCTCATGAACACAGAAAAGCAATAGTTGCAGTTCATGTGGCTTGGTAGAAATGGCAGTAACTTGGCTGCCTCAGCCTATTGAAATTCTGTGGCTGACCAAAGTGCAGGTTTTTTTTCTAATTGCCAGTGGAAGAGTTCAAAAAGAAACCAAAGACTGTCCCCAAAAACCGCTGAAATGTAGCACATCTGGGAATGTATATGAATACATATTGTATATGAGTTCTGCCATGTTCTGGATCCATGATCCTTAAAACTGAGGTCTTTAGCCAGTGGACATATAGATATATGTGTGTGCGTGTGTGTGTATGTATAAGCACTAGTGGTGGTAGTAGACAGCCATCAGCAGCCATCTACAATCTGAGTTATCATTCTGACAAAGAATGAACTGTTTCTTCCTCTTCATCGTCCTTCCAAACATCAGTGTCCCATCTGACACAATCTACCAAAGATGTGGTGCATTTTTTTCACTTCAGACACTTCTCTGGAAAGCTAACCGAAAACAGTTCCTCTTTCCTCTTCTGGTTGTATAAGCAGCCGCAGCAATTATATAACTGCTGAAAAACCAACCTCCTTTCAGGACAAAATGTACACAAAATAGTTGAAAGAAACAAAAGGAGATCCAGGGTACGTATTTTTCCTGAGCAGATAACCCAACACACTGTATAAATGAAGGTTAAGCAAAAGCTCTGCTACAATCAGAAGAAAATAAAGTCACTGCATATCATGGCCTGGCTGCATTTAGACAAGAAAACCTCTCCCACCAAATCCAAACTCTGCAATCCTTGCATAAATCAATGACATCATCTTTGGTGACTCACTGCCTACAATATTTATATTCAGCAGGCTGTCTCCCTCGTGGGAAAGTGTCTGTACTGCTGAGCCCCATAACTCATTCTGATCCTTGTACAGGAGGCAAAGAGGATGTTCTCTCACCTTGCCTTAATTTCACACACTTTGCACAATATCCCAGTAGGATTTCTTTTCTCAATTTCACTACAATGTTGAAGAGTTGTCTCCTGAGAAGCTTAATCTTGTGCTGTCCAGGGAACAGGATAGAGAAGAACACATGAGTGTGCTCATGTTCCTCTGTATGACATGAATCATCTTGGTAGATCATTTTAACATGATACACTCAGATAACACAAAGGCTGAAAGATAAGCACTTACTAAACATGAGATGGCAGTGGTGCATGCAATATTCATTTTCCTTCAGTCTGTGAAAGAGTGATGATGCATTCTTTCATTACATGCTCAAAAAAAACAAATACTCTCACACATTTTTGTTATGTTTTCCCATTATCTGAGCTGGTCACCCCAGGCTTCCTTTATAGTCAATAAGAAGAAACAGGCATTTCTGCACTGCAATTCATCTCATCTGAAAACAGACATCTAAAATATGACAGCTGAATCACACTTGAGAAGTACCCTTCAGTCATTTACACCTGTATAAAATACAGTCACTTCCCTTGATTTAGCTCACAGGCAGTTGCTCTGAGTGAATGGCAAGATAAAGGACAATCCAACTTACCCATCTCCATCCCTCTTTAAACTTCAAGGCTGTAATGTGTGTTATCTCTAAAATATTTCTAGTAGATTAAAAAAACCTCCAAACTGGCAGAGAAAATTGTAAGCAATTTTCGTCATTTCTGTAAATCATTGAATGCACCTCATTATCTTTATGAAAGGCTCCATTTTCTGAATTTGTGTCCATTCTTGTTTTCCTCTTTGGGCTGTTAAACTTCTGCAGCACAAGGAATACTACATCCTTCTCTCCCCCTTTGCACTCCTCTTCTTGATTAAAAATTTCTGTTGTCACTTCACTGTTGAAGAACTCTAGCAACAGACTCTAGGTTACCTGATTTTAAAGCAGTCATAGCTTCATATTGTAGCCTAATAGTTTAAGTAAATTATTCTATAGCAAATCCTGCCATTTTTTAAAGTTTATTGATGAAACATCTTTTCTCTTCTCCCTCTGGCTTAACCTGCATTTTTGCTGCTACCTAGCTCATCAACAGGACTATTGGGTATAAAATATGCCATATAAGGAGCAGTTATAACCAGATTTAATAACTATTTATATTCCTGCAACTTCCTAAATCTTGAAGAACTTTAGTCAAGGCATAATGATTCCAGATTTAAACCAGAAGACCCAAATTCAACTGCTGGCTCAGAACTTCATCCAGAGTAAAAATGGTTCAGACTGTGAAGCTTCTGTGTGCATGTGCTGGTGGGGGGGTGGAAAGTGCAAGAAAACATGTGTCTTTCTGAAATGGAAACACCAGGCAATTTTATAATTATATTGCTAAAAGCTGGAAAGCAAGTTGTGTCTCCCACACCCAACATAAAATCATAAACCCCAAAATACGATGTTCATTTGACCCTTTAAACGCTATCTCAACTACTTTCTGTCTATAGTATTTATAGAGCAACTGTCACTGCATACAGGCACCAGCTGCATAACCACAGCTATTTGGATATGATCAAGTTAAAGCCATAGGACTAAGAGTAGCAACCATTAATTTCTACTATGATTCCCACTACCCACAACAATGTGATGCTCACAGTAATACATACACATGTACAGAAAATAAATCCTGATCTTCAAATGACCAACCAGGGTGTCTCCTTGCAAGTGGATAGGTCTTAAACACCAACCAAGATCTCAGATCTCAGGCCCTTTTAAGCACAGATAACGCAAATCATGCGTTGAATCCAATGCAGAACATTTCTAGACACACAGAGATATGGCTCACAAGTAGATTAAGCTTTGTTCATACAGTCTCTTCTAGCTTCAGTTGCCCTGGTAAAGGGAATACCATTCCCAGCCTGCCCAAGAAGAGTGTCACCACCCTACCTACTGGTCAGCTCTGCCAGCTGGGCTGCTTGTGTAACTGGTCCCCATCTCTTTCATCCAAAGCCTGGCATGTAGAAACACACTCCCATTTCAGAAGAAAAAAATAAGGAGGAGTAGGAGGGGCTTGGAATAGAAGAACTGAAGTATTTTATATTATGGCTCCCTGCATGTGACTACACTTCCTCGGAAGGTGTCCTCTATTCACAGGTTTCCTTGAAGGAAGACTCTCAGGGCATGCCTGGCCAGGTGCAGTACACGTGAGGTAGCACTCCTGCCTTACCTGCCATGACATGACAAAGGCCTCTCCTGGCAAAATAGCAGGGAAGAAGCATTGCCCTGTCTGCGCTCCTTTCCACAGGAAAAGATGGTGCATTCATTTCAGAGCAGAACTTTGTAGCTTTCCAAAGACCTACAGACACTAAAAATATCTTGGACACATCAGCATACTACCTGATTGACCTAAAAGATATGTCTTGAGCAAAGATCAGGAAAATAAACCAACCTACTGGAATGAGGCATACTCTTTTGTTTGTTTCATGAAGGTTTGTTTTTTTAATATATTTTGAGATATTACTGATGAAAATCCAGGCTAGTTTGGGGCAAGCCCCAAAGAAGTGCTGCTTGTCTCTCATGAGCTTTGGTTGTCCACAGGGAGAAACAGAGAGGGCTGTTGGTCTTGTGCAAGTGTGAATTCAGAGAACAAGGCACTGCCTTTTCATGCAGGGATGCTATGCTCTTCATTAGCCTGAGTAATCGTGTCCATTTCTCCATCAGTGTGTAGGGACAACCTCTAGGACAGGCTTGAAGGCACCTGAACTGAGCTCCTCACGAATGAGTGAACAGAGTCTATGGAGTTACTCAGTTCCTGGAGGCAGATACATACATCTGGTCAGTTGAATAACTGCAGACTCCACTCGGTCCATTGACTAGATCTCCATTGTCTTTCAGGGGAGCTTGGACATCTAACTTATGTGTGGACACCGACATGTAGACATCTGAACTTAAGTGTCTAAGTGTCTACAGTCCAGATCTGAAAGGGGGCTACATGTCACTCCTTAGTTTTGCACAGGCGTGCTGATGCCCAGTGAAGCCTACCTCTAAGAAGGACAAAGACTGACTAGATCTATCTGTCTTTCATGGGAGCTTGGACATCTAACATGTGTGGACACCGACATGTAGACATCTGAACTTAAGTGTCTAAGTGTCTACAGTCCAGATCTGAAAGGGGGCTACA